AACAATCATTACCTTTAATAGGTATAAAAGACATTCAGCATCTTTTGGACTCCAGCTTCTAACTGCAGGGAGGGATCTCACTACTGACTTAGAACAATAAATTGCATAAACTGAAATGGCAGCACCATCCCTGATGGTTTAGTCTAGTTATAGAAAAGTAAATGTAGATGAAAGGGTTCAACAATTCTTTTGAATATGAGAATTGCCATATAAGATGAAGCCAATGATAAATCTGTTACATTTTCTGTGAGCATTCAGATAAGAACTTCAAGGAATGGTATAAAAATCTCAGATTATTGATAGCTTTGGCATAATTTATCCTTTGCAAGAATGTTACTTTTTACATTCCACGTGAAGTTTGAAAGGTTGTACTCTAGGACTAGAATTAGATCAAAAACTGAGCATTAGTCAGTCAGGCTGAAAAAAATTCAGACTTGTTTGTACAAGAATTTCTTCTGCAGCTTCTGCTGAAGACAAAGGGAGTTCTACAAATGAAAGACGTGTAGGGTGGACCTTTTTTTTCCTTTTTTTTTTTTTACCCTTCTTTTATTTCCTCCTATCTCAAGAACACCAAAAAAGTGATTCTGATCTCACAATTTCAAACAAAATCAGATTGACCATCATTATGCTATTGCTAATATAAACCTTGTTTCTTGTATGACTGAACTCCCAATAGGCGAACACCATCTGCCTGCTGAAGGAAAAGTCACCATTGAGATAATGTCTAACTCATTAGGAATTGAGAAACATCAAGTCTACTACAAAAGCTACTTAGCAATACCCTTAGAAGTCTCTAACTCCCCATGCAGTGCATTTGTTTGTTGAAGTTCTTCCTTTGATATTGAAGAAATTTTCCCCTATTAAACTGAAGAGTTTTCAAACAAAGAGCTTTTCTTCAGAGCCAAATTCAGATCAGGTGTCACTGCATGAAATTTTACTGACTTCCTTGAAACAGTATATTGTCTTAGAAAACTATCTTACAGCTAAGAACATGGAAATTCATATTGTGCTAGAGCAACATAAATAATAGTGGCACATCAGTTTACCCTTGCAGGAATAATGAGTATTGTTTACTGCTGTAAAATGTTTCTTAAGTGGTATTTCTCCACAATATTGATAGGAACTTAGAAAAAACTGTGACTTTTTTTTCAGGCATTTAAATTTCAGCAAGTTCTAAAAGAAACATCTTTGCTTTGGATTTTAGTCATGTAAATAGAAACGTACCCTTTTTAAGAAGTTATTTTATCTGAAATAATAGTTGTGTACCCTCTGGTTTAGTAAAGTACTGTAATTTTGGAAGCTAACTCTTTCTTCATCCTGCTCTAGAGTTATACTAAAATTTTTATAAACCCAATAAAAACAAATGAATAGCACACAAAAGAGCTAAGTTAGCTACTTTAAAGTAGGTGTAAAAGTATATTTCTTTTGCAGAATTCAGCTGCTTTCTAGCAGGACTGCACAGTCATTTCAGTAGTTTTGAAAGGTGGATATTTCCACTTGACCCGTGTCAGAACCATAGGTATGGAAAGTCATTGCCTGGGGAGAGGCAACTAGCAGTAGGATTCCTACAGAAAAGCTGTCCAGGACCAGTTGTGGTGCCTTCTGTTTTCGTCAGCATCTTCCAAGTGAGAAGCATCACACTGAGCTGCCTTGGATACCTTCTGTGAGATCTTAGGTATGACTGGAGCGTGTGTGATTTTTGACTCTCATCAGAGAAGTAGAACCTTTCTTTAGGCACTGACTGCAGTTTCTGCTTGACACCACTGATCACCATCTGAAGAGTGTGGTGGGTATGCAGCTTAGCCACTCTTAACCATGTACTCAGATTGTTTTACAGTCTTTGTGATTTGATATTCTGCTAGCGTTTAATGGTAGTATGAGTTCATGAAAGTACGACAATCTCTGTTAGCAAAACATGTGGTGGTGTTATAGGTGCATATCTCTGATTCATGATGCTGGAGCAAATGAATGCTTTATAAAACCCCATTGTGAGTTGTCAGTGTGAACGTACGTTCATCTTGATGTTTCTGAGCCAATATTTCCAGCAGAAACTGAGATATCTGTATTTGACCCTTAAAACTGAGTGCAACATTGCAAAGGACTACATGGAAGTAGGAAATCAAAGCATGGAGCAGTATGTGCAATTATGAAACGTATTTGCAGACATGTCCGTGGCAAGTAGAAGTCATAACTTTATGGGATAACAAAAATCTCAATAGAGATCTCAATAGAAATATTGGCTTTATGGCAAATTGTAATTCCTCGCTCCTCTCATCACCTAACCTTTTCATGTTCTGCAGGCTATAAATTACTGATCTCTTTATTTCCATTAGAAGATAAGCACCTTATCACCTTTCCCCTTTTCTAACATCCTTATCACTCCACAGGCAGTAAGTGTCTTTATTCTCAGGTGGTCTAATTGATATATATCTAATTAAAGGCAAAGCAGTTTTTCTCAACTTGTATTCAGCTTTGAAGTATGTTGCTTTGATTTCAGAACTGAAGAACAGCTTCATGTTCCTGAAAGTTTTCCTTTCTCCAGCTGAACTAGTTGATCAAATGAAATACTCCCTCTGTCCACAAACTTTGCCTTGCCTGTGTACCAATGCATTCATTTGTTGTTAGTGAAGAAGAGAAGACAGTTTGTCATGGAATTAGTTAAAAGGTATGTGTGAGGGCTGTGACTCTTCAGAGCCTTGAGGATTAGGACAAAATGTTCAAATATGATGAGACAGAGAAGAGGAGGATTCAGTAGAGACTAAGGTAGATAACGGGATTAGCAAGAAAAATAATTTTAGGACTTATGTCTTAAATGGAGACGTTTTGTGTGAAGGAGGTACCAGAGATGGGAAAGCTGAATATATGGGCAGGAGATAGTGCCAGCATTAAATTGTTTAAATAGCATTATTCTACTTGTCATTTTAGTGAACGTCTTGGGAATATTTCTAGGTAGTGAGAGGGTAGATTCTCCAAAGTTATATAGGATATGAAGAGAAAGAATGATCATTCTAATTAAACAAACAAAGCCATCAATTCTCTCTTAATTATGAGTAGAAAGGAGAGGCAGAAACATGATGTGCGTAACACTGAGATTTCCAGGCAGTTCTAATTTGCATAGCTAGCACTTATGTAGACATTGACTAATTTTTTTCAAATATTACAAGGGTCATACAATTAATTGACCTGACCCGTATGACATTTGCTAGTTTTATGACAACTGTTTGGGTTTTTTTTTGACCCTAGTCCTCTTTTTTTTACTAGTTCCAGGAAGTTTTATGAGGGGGTTATGTTCTTTACTGTGAGGAGATGTATGAAGAAAAGTAATGGAAAAAAATCCACTGAAATTGGATTCTTCTGATCTAAATTAGAAGAAAAGAAAATAGATCCAAGGTACATCATCCTTCCCCTAGAGCACCCTTTTGTCCTTAAAGAACCTTTTTATGAACTTGAGGCATTTTTAGTACTGTGGAATTATCAGCTGAAAGGCACTTTTTTGATGCAAATCATTTGCTTCACTGTTGTAGTGTTTGGCTGTCAAGGAAGGAGGAGGTGTCCATTCAGTGCTAGGAGAAGGGAAATCCCTGTCCCCAAAGCAAATGTTTCTGCACGATGCAAGTTCTAAATTTCTTACTTTCTTGTGGCCTGCCTGCTGCAGGGCAATGAAATGGAGTTACGTGGAATTTATGAACTTCTGTAGGGAGCCTTCCACAGTCCTATTCTTTATCGTTTTTTCTAGCAAGACTGTCTTATTGGCAGTTGTTAATAAGGTCTGTGATGGTTTGGGTTTGTTTTTTTCTTTTCCCCCCCAGCTAATTGCTCTTTTGATTTGGGTTTTTGGGGCTTTTTAAAGTATGTGATAGGATTGCTGTTTATAATATGTAATATCCACAAGAATCTCATAGAGTTTTCTGAGGTCAGACTGTCACTATGCTTTTGTTTGCTTATGCTGAGCTAGTACTTGGCAGCTTGTGTAGTAGCTCAGCCATTCTCTAAATTAACAGGTTGTACTTTGCATTTGAAGTGATTGATATGATTGAAGTGATAAGCATGTATGTGCCTAAATAAATTACTCTGGGGGAGAGAGGGATCCAAATGGAGAAAACTGGATAGGTCCAAAGACAGTTTGTTGTAAGAACCGTGTTACATTCAAGAATGTGGGAAAGACTTACGTAAGAATAAAATCTCAGACCAGAAGATGTATGGGAAAGTACAATTTTTACTCTAAAGTCTTTGTTGATGAAGGTTCAAGGATGTACTTTTTGTTACATTTCTCTGGAGGCAAAAGCCCTGGTGTAGTTGCAGACATACTGAGAAAAAAATCAGTTGTGGGTACAACAATTTATTTTTCTGTGATAGCAATGTTGTATCAACCCTCCTGGGTTTTGGCTTCCTAAGTAACTCAAGCGCCTATAGAAAAAGGATCATTTAAATGCTTAAATTCATTTTAATAATATTGCTAAATCACTCATCTCAAACTTCTTTTTTGAAGGACTGAGGGTCTACGTGGGGTTTTTTTTAAGAGCTGGTCCTCCTATTTCTGTGAATCAGCAATAATTATCCTGAATCTTTTTGCAGGGCTTTATTATTTGGCATCGTGTTGGCATGACAGGAGAATCCTGTGTCCCACAGAACGTTTAGAGTTCACCTGCTGGTTAAAATCCCCTTGCATGTCAGCACGTGGAAGCAGTAGACTAATTGTTTATTTATTCTTAACTTATATGTTTATAAATACACTCTAAAAATAAAGGATTGGCCTGACTCTTTACATCTGTACACACAATAGTTTTTGCTATTTTTTTCCACAAGTGGCGCCCTGGACTTAATAAGATAATGAGAGGACCCCAACTCATAGGTCTAAATGAAGCTGCAGAAGACTGTTTTTCACTCTCGAACTACCTTTTATTTGCACATACTGCTATATCATTGTATGACATTGGCTTTTGCATACACGTGTATTACATAAAGCTAATACATTGTTCTTGATTTTGCTTTGCAGTACAGAATTGGACAGCTGTACATGATAAGCAAGCATAGCCATGAGCAGAGTGACCGAGGTGAAGGTGTGGAAGTGGTGCAGAATGAACCCTATGAAGATCCAAACCATGGCAATGGTCAGCTAACAGAGAAACGGGTCTATCTCAACAGGCAAGTGTAATAAAACTGTTTCTCTCAGCATGGGCTGTAATAAAAATTTGCAAGGAATACCCGTTCCAGGCAATATAGCCTTTCTGTTTCAAGTGGAAGGTGTTTCCATGAATACGTGCTGCTTCCTGGTAGCTTCAGGAAGAAGGAAGGTGGGATAGATCAGTGGCTTGAAGTAGAGAGATTTGTTGTCATTTCTTCTAGAGTATCTTTTCCAAGAGAAAGAATTATAACTTCAAGTTAAGGATGTACTGCAAATCAGAACTTTTTGTTTTCTTTTACACTTAACTGTTTGTCATTTTGTTTTCCAAAATTGGGGGAGGGGAAAAGCCAAAAAACTAAAAAACCAAAAACAACCACCACCACCCCCCCAAAGAAAACCAAAACCAAACCAAACCACTGAAATGATTTAAGGGGTTCTCACCTCATAATAATGTCACAAAGCCAGTATCCCATTTTTGATGACAAGAGATTTGTTTCAGCAAAGTTAATTGACATTATGAATGACCATTAGGCTTGTACAATGATGACCTTCTGTACCAAAATAACAGGCTTGAAGACACGATGGAAAAAATTGCTTTTGTTTCCCTGAAGTTCCATCATTTCTTAAAGTGAAATATGTGTCTCTTCCTGTGGTGAAATTATACTGCTGGGGATCAATGCCTCCACACTCACAGGCCAGAGATGTTTTTATATGTATGTTTGTGTCCTATGAAATATATTGCTCAATCTGTTCCCATTTTTACTACTGCTGATCTAATAACGAATATCACTGCTTTTCTGAAGTTCTTCTATTCCCCTGGGCCTGTTTTGTTTTATTAAACTTATACTCTGCAGCATTTCATAGTGGGCATAGAAACACTATAGCTATTTCTTCTACATTGCAAGTTACTCCTCTACTGCAGAACTGACATATCTAACCTTATCTCAGACTAAATTGAATCACTAGTAATGTTGCGCACACACACACACACACAACTCCAATGATACGTATCTTGCCAACATTTAATATTATTGTGATTGTAACTCTGTTCTTTCACAGGCTAGATACAGGACTTGGGAAAAATCAATAAATGTGTTCCTGTTGTAGAGCTCCCAGAAGTGGTGGGTTTTTTAATGTTTCTGGATATTTCTTTCTTTCATGTTACAAAGAGATAAGGCTTTAAGCACTGAAGAGCATACTCAGAATTACCACTTTAGGGTAATTCAGAATAACCTCAAGGACTGTGTCATAGAAGGCATGTACAAGACATACTTAGGAAGCATGGTAGTGCAGGTAATAGAACAAAGGATCTCTTACCCAAAGAAGGGTATGAACATTGACAAAGATGATCTGCATGCTACAACAGCTTGGGAAGTTTACCTAAAGCTATGGCAGATGTTTGAAGTCAGACTCACTGAGTTTAATGATAATTATGAATACTCCTTGATAATCATCACTAGATTTGCTACTTGAATCTGGTTTTGGTTCACACCACCACCAGATACTGCAGTACGATTAAAGCTTTGTGGAAACGATCAGCTGCTTTTCAGGCAACTATGGATCTCTCTGGAAGACTTCACTCATGGAGACATGCTGACATACAAGATGTGCTGAAAACTTCTCCTCTGCCTGCCTTCCTTGAGGAACAGGACTCCTTACACCTGCACAGTTCTCTCCCTCATCTTTTCTTCTTCCAGGGTTCACCGCCCTAATAAACTTGCTATCTTTGCTTCACTTCATTTTGCTCTGGACTGATCTCTCCTGAAGAAATTTGATCTTATATATTTCAGTGATGGTTTCTTGGAAAGATTTGTGCATTATTTTAATTTATCTTTTCTTGCCTGCTAATACTTTAATTCTTGCAGAGGGTCTTCTTGTGTACCAGTGGTTTCAGCTGGACTGCCATTAAGAAACACTTCCTCCCTATCTGCTGAAAGACTGAACTTCATCTGGGGAAGGAAGAAATAAAAAAAACATTTTAAAAAAAAAAGAAAAAAAAAAAGATAAAGTGATCCACAGATACCTGTGCTGCTAAAATAGAAATATTATATTTTCTTTCTCTGAGTGGACCCTTGGAAAAATTCATGTGTGTCTAGGACTGTGACTTGCTGGCAACTCTGAGTATAATGTGTGTTTTGCTCATAAAATTATTTGTTTTGGAGATGTGCTGTACCAGCGAAGATAGGTAGACAGGCAAATATGCTAAAAACAACAACAATAACAAAAAAAAGTGCAAAATGAGCAGCTGTACATTAACAAAGACATTACTAGTAAAATTTTCTAGTGCCAGTGTAAGCCTGAGTTATATTCAGAATTGTTTCCTGCCTCTGCTCTCCTGCTGGAGCATTGTTTTCAGAAGCTGAAAGTCTGCATCCTCTGGTACTTAATGTTTAGGCATCAGAGTAAAGTTTAGCAGGGGTAAGGGAGGGAGCAGAGAGATAGTCCTAAAAAGACACTGACAGAGGCTGACAAAGTAAACAAAAGATCTGATACAGTGAAGTCTATTATGCAGTATGTAAAATGCTGCTTAAAAGACTGTACACAAGAAAGGTTTATGTAAAGAAAATAATCTGGTTTTGAGCAATGTCATCAAAGAACAAAGTCAATGCACTTGACTTTGAATCTTTAGATAATGTGCTAAGGTCTACATTTTGCCTCTGGACAAATAAAATATTTATATGTAACAGGATCATGGTTAAATAAGCCTAAATGATCCAAACTCTGTATTTGCTTCAGAAATTTGCAAATATAGAAAGTTAATTTACTTTCTGCATACAGTTATCTAAACATGACTGTTTCAAACATTTACAGTTGGAAAATTGAGGTTTGAAAGCATCTACTTTAGTTCAGTAAAGATTCAGTCTTAGGCTGGATGATCTGCTCGACACATTGCCAGACTAACACAATTTTAACTGGGTCTGCCTTCCTTTGAGTGACTAGTACTGCATCTTTGTTCCTGGCAGCTTCAGTGATTATAATTGATGTCATTAAGAAAGTGTTGAAAGATAGAATTGTCATGAACTTGCCTTTCTAAAATGTATGTTTGTTCATCACTTCTTTGGTAATCTGTGTGACCAGAGTTCTGGAAATGAGACCCAAGATCCGTGGTAAAGAAAATGCTTCCACTCTTCCATAATATTATTTAATTACCCTTTAATGATCTTTCCATGTGCTGTATTCATGTCTTTCATTTCTTATTCTACTGATGTTGTACCACCGTGTTGGTAAGTTCTTTTGACAGATTGAGCTCTGAGCTATGACATAAGTTCTATTAATTCTCTTCACTTTTGTGATTTTAGTTTTCCCATCAGCAAAATGGGACTAATACTACATACCAGCCTCACAGAGGTGTTTCAAGTGATTTGTTAATTTTAACATAAAAGCTTCCTACTCAGGAGTTGGTGTTGGTAGTGCGGAAAGAACTGCGTGCTAGGCAAGTTGAACGTAAGGGTTTCGGTGCCAGCAGAGAATATGGAGGAAGAAGAAATACTCTCCAAGAAGAAATAATGGAATTGGGATCAAAGTGGACTGAAATCACATCTTTACTCAGGACCTCTTGTTAGAGAGTGCCTCCCTGTGGTTAAGGATACTGTGACACAGTTACACCTTGTATGGTCTAACCTGCTGAATTCATCTATGACCAAAGGTTTCAGGCCGTAAATTTTTAAAATCAAACCAATTTAATCTGATCAGAGGTTATTGCACTGGCACCAGTGCTCACTTTGAGAGGGGAACAGACAGACTTGGTTTTTTATCTGTTTGGGCAGAAAGCTGAGAAAGAATGTACAGTCATGACAGGAAAATACTGTTGTGAATCCAGGTATTGCTGTATCCTGTGAAACACCTGTCAAATTATGAGCACGTTTGGAAGTATCTTCTTTTCTGCAATACTCATAAGTCACAATACATTCTAATTTTATTTTTTCCTTTTATTTTCAGCAAATTGCCTAGCTGGGCTAGAGCAGTTGTTCCCAAAATATTTTATGTTACAGAGAAGGCTTGGAATTATTATCCTTATACAATCACAGGTAAGGAATAAACCAGAAATTATTACTGACTTGTACTTTTTGGATAGTTTAGCCTATCTTCAGAAGCTCCAAGTTACATATGGAGCCACAGATAGCAAGTTTCTTTAACAACAACTGCTGAACTGCATGTATTTTTCCATCTTATATTGACTGATATCAGGAAATAAAGATTATAGACTATGGATAGGTAAAAACTAGAGTGTCGTATCTATGCAATTTCTTCCTTGCAAAGAAAACATCAGGTGCTTAGATTCTGGGCTGACTTGTACCCTTTATTGTCACATAGATTTAGTCAAATATAAATCAGCAGTTTATCTGACACAATTTTTTTTAATTATTAATGTATGTTTACTCTAAAGATCTTGCATCATTGTTTTATTTCACATTTCTTTTTTTTTTCTTTTCCCTCATCATTCTTTTTTTTACAAATGGACAATTGGAAATCAGAATACACAGTAAGTTTTTCTTCTTTTTATTCTAAAAATAGAATAAATATGTGAAATATAGTAGTGGAATCCAAACTGATCCTTCTTAATATAACTAATATGTAGTTTTTCTTCCTCTTTTTATTCTAAAAATAGAATAATTATGTGAAATATAGTAGTGGAATCCAAACTGATCCTTCTTAATATAACTAATACTTAATGCATTCAATAGTGGAACTTTATTTTAGCTATTTGTTTAAGAAATTTAAGGTTAAATTTGAAGTTTTTCTGTGGGGATCCTATAAATTATTTACCTTATTTTTTTATCACTTCAGAATAACTTGATATATTTTTAGTTACTGACTGTAACAAAGAGAAGCTTCTATAAAACAGGGCAAGGCTTTTAAGGTTCCAGTTATTACGTTGAGACATGAGAACAGATTTTATTTTATTTATTGTTTTATTAACTTATAAAATGCTCGTCTCTGGTATAGTATCTGGGAAACTGTACAATCTGTAGACAAAACTAAACATAATCTGGGCATAGTGCCCAGAAAAATCAACTATTCCCTCTAGCAGAGCTAAGGCAAAATATAGCACATAAATCATGAGAAAAATTGTTTTAAATGTGCTGGCCTCAATAATATACAGTTTTCAGCAACCTTTGGAAGATGAGGAGGAGAAGATGAGGAAGTTCCAGGTGAAGGGACCTTTCAGAAACTCCTGCCTTGATTTAGTTTGAACTTCTGGCTGCAGATAAAACATAAATTACTTGTTTTTTTTAACTCTGCAGTGTTTAAAATATTTGTGCGGATTTTTTTAAAACCAGTAAAGCATACGGAGAGGAAAAAGATTTTAATGTGATAAATATGAAAGAGAAAAAAATAAAGGGATTTAAAGGCTCAGATCTGAAAGCTGAAGACTTAGAGTTGAAACGGTGATGACCAGGTTTGAAAATCCAAAGTACCAAAACCTGCGTTTCAATATGTACTGTAGATGCTTATTATATTCTTCTTTCTTTAATGTTTAAAATTCATTTGATTGTCAGAGGAAACCTGAATGTTGCATAATGGACAGTAGTAATGAAGGGGCAAAAATCTCAGCTATTGTTGTTGGAAGATATCTTCAGTGAGGCCTATCACAGTTTACATTAATTAAGGATTTACCCTTTGATAGCAGGTTTAATCTTAGGCTGGGAAGATGACATGTGCTTTGTTGTATTGATATCTGTTACTTACACTCTGTTGCATATTTTCTTTTACTGAAAGTCTATTTGAATTTTTTTATGTGGTTTTTTTTTTTCTTTAACTGTGAAAGAGACAAGTAGGAATGATTAAAGGGATGGTAGCAGACAGAAATATATGTCTGAATTTGAAACACAATACATTATCAAAACCAAACAAAACAACAATGCTATACTCACAGAATTTGAATAAGGAGGTGATCTTTATCTAATCTGATGAGACAACACCTGGAACACATTTCAGTGAAGGTGTGTAGAAGGTATACAGCTACAGAGATGTTCAAGAGCATCAGCAAAAACGATTCCAGGGTTGAAGAGACTTGTAAAGAAAAATTACATCAATCTACAAATGTAGAAGGTAGGCAAAACAGTCGCTAAGTGACAGTATAACTGCCTATGGGAGTTGGGGACTAATTACTCACCATGGTGCAAGGAAACAGAACTAGAAATATTGGGATGAGATTAAGGAAACTGTACTTCAGACAAAAATCTAAAATATATTTTAATGGAGCTGATAGACTATGAAATTATCTTCAAGACAAATAGAGAAAGTGCCTTTGCCTCAAACTGTTGAATGTAGAACAAAAATTTTAAATATACCACTGGGAATAACTCCTATCCTTGTCTGGAATATTTTTCTAAATTTTTATCTTCTATATTCATTAGAGAATTCTGAAAGAAAGAATAAACCCACAGACATTGCCCAAGCTTGGAAACCCTTTTCCTAAAGATAGTAAATTCCCTCCAAAGGGTCTGTGGGACATCCTAAGAACTAAATTGAGCCTCATTTCAAAGAAAACTGATTCTAAATGCAGGCCAATAATTGGATAAATAAGGCATGATCTTACCGAGTCAAGTACATACTGCTATGTAGTATATTCACACCTTACTTAACCTCGTAAGTTCCACTCTAAATAAAGAGCAAGGACCTTAAAGGCTCAGTAGTGTTGTTTCAGAGTATGTTAGTGATTTGGAAGACGATGTGAACAACAGACTGAATCTTGCTGATAGTCTTAAGGTTTATCAGTTGTAAGATATGAAGGCTGTTGACAAATTGCATTCAAGCACATACACTAGCATTCAGAGATTGAATGCAGAATAATTTCATCAATCTGGTTTTCCTGTGAAATATTATGAATTTCATAAATATGACCTCCTTAAGGACCTGAAATTAGGACATTTTCTAAGAAAAAAAAGCTCGCCAGTCATTGAAAATAATTTCCAGAATATTGTTCTCTGCGGTGGTAGTATAAAAAGCCAAGAGTTGATTGGATGCATGAAAACAGGAATGGAAATTAGTGTCGTGATGTTAGTACTCTATAATCTGGATCCCGTTATGATGGCATCTGCTTTAAGGAATGGTATTTGTTACACAGCAAACCCCTAAATTTGACAGCAAACAGCAGGTCTACTACCAACTCTCGACAACCATATTAATAATATGTAAAGCAAATGACACACTGAAGATAATGAGCTTAACAGAACTATTGCACAAATGATACTTTTGTGGTGTGTAATATGTGAAATATTGTAATGTCAGGAGAGCACTTTAAAATGTCTGCTATGCTGTTTGTGGAGGAGGGCCTCATTAAAACTGCAATACAAAAGACTTCCTATCAGGAAGATGAGACATGGGTAATATCCCACGAAATGCTCTATCAAAGCTTGAGCTAATCCTTGCAAGCTTCCTGCTGACATTGAGAGGGAGGAGGAAATAGAAAAAAATACTTTCGACGCTGAAGCCAAAGGAAGTCATCCAGATTCGGGGGTACTATTTAGAGAGTAAGACACTCCTATAAAGTTCAAACCCTTGTTTTAGTGGCTGGGGCATTACTTAACAGCTGTATGTGACAAAGCCTCTTAAACTTAGAACAGGAGTTGCTTTGTGTTTGATCTCGTAATTAGAAACCTGACAAGATAGCTTGCTAAAATAAATGTTTAATTTTTATTTACAAGTTAATTTAATATTGTGATTAGGTTGATGCTTAGCTCATAAATTTGGGATACCATATTTAGGATAGCGCTAAAAGGGAGCCCTATAGAAGTAACTCCTAGGGATTCTGCTCTATGAGTGATTACAGGTTTTGGGTACTGGTGAGTGCCTCCTGTCAAGCTACCCGTGCTGTTGGGGAATGGGTATTGCTAGCTGCTGGCTTTTAGAAAGAATTCCTTTGCTAGTCACAGGCTGGAGTCTTTTTCACCTTGGAGAATGGAGGAAAGATGCCTTGCAGTTCTTAGCAAACCCCTATGTGCCAGCTTATCACAGCATTTGCAAATACGTATCTTTAGTGTAAAAATATTTATGCTGTTCTTAGATATGTGGACAAGAATGACTGAACTTTCAGGAGGCTTTCTATTTTTCTTTCTGAGGTTGTCCAGCTAGATTAGAAATAATTAACTAGAAAGCAAACCTGTCTCTGTTGCAAACCAAATGAAAAAGGATTGCGTAGAACTAAGTTTCTTTACCTGCATCAGGATATTGTTACACAATAAGCAGCACAGAGCAAATACCCATTTGACCTGTTCAAGTGACAGTTGAGATTCTGGACAGAAAGAGAGGTGCCTCAAGCAAACAAATAATCCGATCACAAATGTATGGTGACTAAACCATGGTACAAAAAACTTGTATGATCAAAGTACACTGAAAATGAGCCTAACAAAGTCTAGCTATCAAACTGGAGTACAGAGAGGTTAGGAAAAATACAAACAGAATTTAAGCAAGCTCTTATGAGTTTGAAGGTGCAGTTCAAGTACCAGGGATAATTTCAAATAGTTTTGCTGTCTGATCTGAACAGCTTCAGTGTTGTTAGCAATATTTCAGTTCCGGGGCTGAAATTTAAAAACAGCTGGATAATTTTTTTTTATGCATAATTTATGGCCAACTGTTAGTTTCACAATTATAAGTATATAAAGCAAAATAAGTACTAAAAATGGCATGTTTTACTCTCTGCAAGGAGGAAGAGCATTCTTTCAACCTGCCAATGTCTCAAATTAACTTAGGAATAAGATATAAATTCAGAATATTGATGAAAAACAGTTATGGAACAGAAAGCAGGAGGCAACAATTCTTTTGATGATGTATCACAATGATACTAATTCTTCTACAGCAAATGACTGAGGCAAATAAAATTATTTCATCTGGTATGTGTCAAGGCCCCAGAGTGATGGTTGCTAAACGTTCCATTATTGACCTGCTGGTTTCTGAGTACTTTTGAGAACAGGCATGTTATGTGCTTCACTTAGTCAGCTGCCAGTTTATCCATGAAGTAAATTATCTGGAAGGAATGTTTTTGTAATTGTTATTTTTATAATGAGATGACTTGAGAAAGGGAAAAAAAAAAAAAGTTGTTTCACATAAACATTGCAAGGAATCTGTAGAGGCTTTTTCCTGTGTTCTCTTTATCTGATTACCAGTGCTTGAAATTTGGATGTAACTCATCATCCTTCAGTGCACAAACTTTTCTGCAGCTTGAATATATGAAGAGTCTGCATCAAAAATGCAACAGAATCTGTATTGCAGGATTAAAGCCTAATACAAAGTTACTACCCAAATTCCTCCCCTCTCACCCCCCAACCCAGAAGACAGGCTAACTGGTGACGTTACTCCAGTAAAACACATACTTGGTTCCTTTTGAGATTCTAGCAAAGGGAAGGACCTCTGTAGTATTTATAAGAAACAAATAATATATATTTAGAAAGCTGCAAACCTGTATTCTCATTTAATAGCTTAATCCCATTGAAACAGAGTAGATCAAACTGCTTGGGATAATTCCCTTTTTCCACCACT